AGATCTCCATGAACTGGGATTTAAATTAATTGGGATGAACTGGCTTTATTTTTCCCTTGGGCTGATTTCAACTTTATTGTGCTGGATTATTGTTTCCATTTTAGAGTAAATATCATAAGCAGCTAATTATCTTTGTCCAGGAATCTAAGTGCAGTTGGATTTTAAAAATTAATATTTACTTGATTAGACAAACTTACAACTGATTCTTATCTCCCAGTGGGATTTTAGAAAGTGCAGAAAGCCTTTTGTCATATCTCCCTGTTCCTTGGGTGCATATCTAACTGGATAAAGCTGACTTTTTCCTGATTTGCAATTGTTTTCCTGGCTATCATGATTCGGTGGGATGGTAGACAGCCAGTAGGTTCTTCAGTACACTGTGGACATATATCCTGGCTTGGATATAGTAATCTAGAATTTTACCTACTCTTCTAATATTCATTACAATTTAATATTAATAATTCTGAAACTATCATATTTTGGGCAATAAATTATAAAATTATTTTCCTTCTGGGGTATGATTATAGCATCTTTCTAGACTCCTGAAGAAATTCCACAAAGCTTTATCTTGACCACTTGAAACCCAAACCCAGTTTTTCTTCACACCACTAGATTCCTACTCTGGCGAGTCTTGTTGCCTGTGTTTGTGACCTGGGAGATGGAGTAGTGGGAGTTAAGATGCCCCAAACCAGTGACATCCAGGGTTGGCTCAACCCAAGGTATTCCCTTGGCTTGAAGAATGGGAATGTTAGGAGTCTAGGTTACTCTGCATCTTTATTTTCATCTTGTTCTGCAGCCAGCATGGTAGGTCACCATTCTCTGAATAGGACCCACACTTTGCCCTGTTTACTTCCTCTTTCCCTCCTATCTACCTGTACTGTACTTGTTACAATTCTAACATATGATAAATGTCTATAATATCATGCCTTTAGTGAATCCTGAATTCTTTATTTTCCCTCCACTCACAAACTTTTAAAATATGGGCCATAGTCTCAAAATCAAACTTTGAGTATAACAGGAAAATAGTGAACATTCATTGAATTGAATCAGTAGAAATGTGTATAACTAATTTTAAAATGTTGTGTTCTATGAAGTATGAAGCTTTTCATGTGCAAATGAAAATATAAAAGGTGCTTCTACTCTGCATGAAAGTTAAGGATAGGCCAGGCATGGTGGCACATGCCTGTAATCCCATCACTTGGGAGGCTGAGGCAAGAGGATCATTGCAAATTCGAGACCAGCCTGGGCTACAGAGTGAGCTCAAGTTCAGCCTGAGCTGCATAGTGAGACCCTGTCTCAAAAACGCAGAAAAAAAAAAAAAAAGAAAGAAAGAAAGAAAGTTAAGGATAAATGACAGCAACTCCACATATTGACTGCAATTTGGAATTTAAGATTATATACCTGGATGTGGTCAGGAATGCTTGTGATCCTAGGGCTATGGGAGGGTAGGGCACAAGGATCACATGTTTCAGCCCAGCCTGGGCAAGTCAGCAATTTAGTAAAATGTTGTCTCAAAGTTTTAAAAAGGGCTGGGGATGTAGCTCAATGTACAGGCCCTGGGGGACAAAAAAAACTCTTCACAATATTATGGGATAGGGAAGGCAAACTTCTTTTACTGATCATTTTACAGGTTAATCTGCTGATAAAGGTCAATTGTTTTCAGGTTGTACAACGATTAGTTTAGGGACCCACTTTCCAACTATGGAGTCCTTTATTCTTACTATCTCTCTATGAGACAAAGGAGTGATTATCTGTGTCTGTGTTGTAATCTGCTGACATGAATAAATCCTAACAGTTGCTGGAGATAGATATTAAGCTGTCTTCTAGAAGCCTACATCCAAGGTCATTGGAAAAACGTTTTTATTCATCAGAGGGCTGGTCTGGATCCCCAGTGCCTTTTACTTTCATTGCTGCCAACAGCATGACTCAAAACATCTAATTCCTTCTCTATCATTTCAAATAAATTTGCATGTTAATTAAATTGCTGCATAAATTTGGAGCAAGGACAGCAGCATAGGACTGGGTGGGTCTTGACATGGTTAAAGTCAAGGGAAGAAAAGGCAGTCTCTGGCAATATGGTGCTCCAGCCCCCAGTGGGGCTGGCAAGTCTCGGTACACACAAAGGGTGTCGCTGTGCAGATGCCCCTTCCCGGTTCCACTCAGAGGCCCTCCCTGTGGTGCAGGGATGGAGGAGGCCGACTCTAGGAGGTGGCAAATCTCAGGAGATAAAAATGAAAGGCAGAGTGTATTTTGGCCTCTTGCCTGATTGTAAGGGTGGGGATTCAGACTTCTTGCAGCACATTCATTAAACAGCTTCTGTTGCTTTCAGAGTCACTGTGACTGGAGGGCCCTGAGGGAACCGTGCCTTCAGAAAGCTCCTGAGATCCCTGGGAGCATCCCACAGGGGCTAGCCATTCAGTTTCAAAGATACTTTTACAATGAGAAATTAACTGGAAACACCCTTTCTACACCTTATTATTTCAGATTACAGACCTGGCATACAGATGAGGGGAAAAAAATTTAAAAAAGAATAAAACCTCCAAAACACCTGCTGTGTCCCTGAAGGGTATTATTTATCTGCTGATTTGCAAAGGCAGAGGGTAGACTGCACCCTCTATATTAGAATAAGTGTGCTTAGCATTGCAAATATGATTATTCACTTTCACTTTTGGAAAGTGCTACTTTAGAATCTAACATTTGCAACAGTAATTGAGAGATTTATTCCCTTTTATTTTATCTCTTTTTTATTTAGAAATACATTAATAGTTTTGACCATGATGTTGTTCTTGTTTGTTTCTGTGGTACTGAAGATACATGGCTATGTTCATCCTGAGATCTGGTTCCTGCCCTCTCTTAATTTTTCTTCCTATGTAACTAAGATCCCTGGGCTGGGCTCAAAGTTGAGACGGTCTTGCCTCACTGTCCCAGAGTACTGGGATTACTGGTATGTGCCACCAAACATTGTCACTTTTATTTTGATATTTTGCCCCTTACTCTCCTCACCCTAAACCTTTGGAAGTGGGATTCAATGTATACACTGTTCTCTTTTGAAATGGTGAAGGATTAACCCCTTTAGGATAAAGGTTGCAACTTTTTAAAATTTTTGCAGGGATTTAGTTTTGTTATTGTTGTTGTGCTGTTACCTAGAAAAATTCAAGGAACACAAATTTGAAGAGAAAAACTTTCATTATGTTGGTTATGGCTTGCGTCTAGATGTCCCCCAAAGCCTCGTGTGGTCATAGGTGGGACTTTTCAGAGGTGGCTGGTTCTGGAGTGTATGATGCTGAGATCAAGGGTGTGTGATTACTAAATTAGTTTGCTGATTGGATTGGCAAAGTTATGGGTAGGATTAAGGGTGTGAAAGCTGGATAAAATATAAGGGACAGGAAGAGGGTTATTGCTTGTCTTCACTTGCTGCTTGCTGCCTTCTGCCTGTCATGAACTGTTTCTCCTCTGTGATGCCCCTCTGCCATGCTGCTTTGCCTTGGAGTCAGCTGACTAGGAACTGAAACCTCTACAAGCTGTGAGCTAAATAAATCTTTCCTCCATTAACTTTGAGTGTGGGGTATTTGTTTCAACAAGGAGAAAATAACTAAGACAATGTTCTAATGTTATTTTCTGTTCTAAAAATGGAGCACTGTGCATAAAAAGATTAAGTCTCTTGTGAGCAATCTCTGTTAGCTGTGATGGGAGTTTTGAGCCCTAGAATAAACTTCTAAAGAAAATAAAGTAAAGGCTCCAGGGCCCCTCCATACTTTCAGAAGCTGTATGTCTGAGATCTGTAATAGTCTATAAGAGATGGTAGACTGCAAATATGTTTATTGGTCCCCAAAATAGTCATTGTATGTCCTAATAGAGAGAACATTCTATCTAAAATCAGAGCCAGAAGTGTCTTTGGACCTTAACTACTTATTATCACGAACCATATATAAAACTCAGGACCGGTTTTGTCATCTTTCAAATGAAAACCAAGGCACCTAACTCATTCTGATAAAATATTTCCAGTAATCAACATGTACTTCCTCCAGATTCAAGGGTTAGCTAGAATGAGTGAGGTTTGAAATACAGTTTATTCCAAGATAAATCCTCAAATATACTTGTAAAAATTAAATAAAACCTTAATCATTCATGATTGTTAAGAAAAGAATTTCTATGTTGAGAGGGTTATTGGGCTGATTTGTAAGTTGTACACAATTTTCTTTTGATATTACTCTCCCTCTTTTGAATATATGGCTGAGACAGTCTCAAAGAAAGCCTGCTCACAGTGTTCAGATGCAGACATCCTCATCTATTTTTTTTTTTTGGTTTTTCACCGGTACCGGGGACCGAACTCACGACCTTGCACTTGCCAGGCAGGCGCTTTTGCTGCTGAGCTAAATCCCCAGCCCCAACATCCTCATCTATTGATAATTCTCCTTGCAGAACTGCAACATTTAGCTGACATTTTTCCTCATTTGGTGAGGGGTTACAAATGAGAAACAGAAGGAGAATGCCACCAAAGGAGTTATTCTATGCGATGCAATTTGCCTTACAACTCAGAGTTTGTCTTCTTTGGTCTCTATCATGCTTTTTTGAGGTAAATACTATCTTATCAACATTCAGGACTCCACCCCAAACATACCCTCCCATGAAATCCTAAACCAGATTTCTGACATTGTGCCTTCAGTGCATAAATTCAGCCATACTTGAAACAGACTATTCCATTATGACCACAAAATATTCCCTTGATTTTGATTAAGCATGTTTAAATTACTCTTCTCCCATCTATAGTTAGTTTTAACATGTATTTTATATTTTATCAGTAGACCCCAAACACAAGGCTATATTTATTAAATACAAGTGGCTAATTATTAATCACATTACTTTGCCATACATTTGAAAATAGTAGTGTATATTTTATGACATAAAATTATAACATAAATGAGTATAGAAAACTTTTTCTTCATCCATTGCCGCATTCACTGAAAAATGTTCCTAAAAAAGGAGCCCCACAGAGGATTAAAGAGGTTTTGTCATTTCTTTATTAGTCATAAACTCATTACAAAACTGACTCATATAATTAGAAATATTACAAATCACAAATAAATCATATCATTTAAATATTAAGTGTTAAATTATAGTTTGCATTTGTCAAATAGCCAATATAAGTATGAATGTTTGTGCTTGTGTGACAAAAATGTAGAGACAATATGAAAATGCATTAAGGAATGAAATTAATACAATGTATTTATAGCTTGAGGGCCAAATCTGCTTGGTTTAGTATAAAAAATATGAAGACATTTACGAGTTAACATTGTGTGTATCTTTTGGTAACCTGAAACAAATGCTTATATGTATGTCCTAACTTCAAAGGCAGGAAGCAACATATAAAAAGTTAACACTGGGTATACTAACTATACTTTCTGATGTACCTGTGGTGCCTTAGTAAAGTTTGTTGTTGAATCCATTTGTCAAACCTGAAAAAAATTTCTATTTTTATGAATTAGATGAAGTTCAGCAATCCTGTTTTTAATACAAGTACTTTCTTTTCCTCAAATGTTTCAAAATCATAGGTTAGTATCATTGGAGTGTTAAGTAATCCCACTCATTAAATGTCACCTGCATAGCTGAGGCTTTCCAAATGTCCTTATTTTCGAGCTACTTCTGAGATACAAGAGTGATTTATTTTCATGTGATCAGAGGACATTGGAAATGAAATTTCAAAAATAAATACTGTCTTCTGATTTTTATGTGAGGAGAAGAAAGAGAATGCTGTACTCCTAAGGAACCTGACCCTTAAACAACCTAGTGTCTGAAACCCTCGTCAATGGGAAAAAAGTATCAAGCTCTTATGCTGAAGATAGTATTACTGTGGCCATATATCTCATATAAAAGAAGTACAAATAAATAAGATTACAGTTATGCCCAGAGGAAAAATCTATTATTAGAAAATGTTATGAACAATGTATAAATATTTATCCTAATCACAAAAGCATTTAGTTTTTATTTCCCACTTTAGCTTAATATTAACTGTAGTTTACTGGAGAAGAATGATAAAACCATAAATAGTAGAACATACACTCAAATGAAAGAAACTTCTAATTTCTCAACTATCAGCAAAATAATTCTCTATACATGATTCAAACAAATACCAAATGTTTATAGTTTTGATTGCAAGAATGTGTTCTTGTTTTCTTCCACACCATGCTTTATGATATAAGCCAGAACAAGTTGTCACAATTTGTCACACAAATGTTCTATAATTTCTTTAAAGCAGACTGAGACCAAGTTTTATTTAAAAGCTCTCGTAAGCTATGATATTTTATGTGCCTCTGTTTCATGTATCAAATGCACTGAGCTAAACCTGGATACATCCTCATGGTGCTCAACACATAACGTGGCATTTAAAATGCAAAATAAACGCATTAACTGATTTTGTTTTACAGCTTGATTATTTTCCTTTCACAACTGTTACATTGTTTACACAATTCCTAGTGTAGTAGGCTACAGTCAATTCTAATTCTTAAATTTGTTATTCTAAACAGAGAAAATTTCACCCACCAGGGGCACAGACACTAGACTAGAGTGCAAAAGGCACTCTTAATTTTTTTGTTGAGAAAGTTGAATGTGGTCTTAGCTTTTCCCAAGCCATGAGAACATTCCAGAGAACAATATTAACTACTATCTTGAATTCTCCTTCATGGCTGATAAAGAAAATTGACTGGTATAACATTTTAACATAGATGTTTTGTTCACATGACCAAACTAATCAGAAAAAAAGAAAGAAAAAGAAAAAAAGGAATGTCTTTGTTAGCATTCCCAACAGCACATGCACAAAATCTAAATCATGCAAGGTGATTTGAGAGGGAATGGGGAAGATAAAAATGGGAGTGGAACTCAACATGGTTGGATTCATCATTGAGTGAAGTTGATCTGAAAAACACGGGTGTATGTCTTTGATGTGTAATTTCTTACTGGGAATATTTGGACGCTTGAGGGATGGGAAAGGACTCATAAGAGCACTAAAAATACATGTGGTTTTTAAATTTAGAAAGGGAAGAACCCATGATATCAATAGTTGCATCACTCTATACACCTTTACTTGAAAATTGATGTACCTCTATTTCTAAATGCAAGTGGCTCTCAAACAGACTGAACTAAGCAAGGAAATGGGCTCCTAGTAGAAAAAGAATGCTGTAGTAAGAGCAATGATTTCTAAGGTTAACTACAAATGACTCATTTTTTAAAAAAATATCATATGTAAAGTTCACCCTACATAATATCTGTAGTTCTTATCCAAATGAAAGGGAAAGGTGCCAGGAATTACTTCATTGGAGAAAAGCTGAAGTGACCATGACTTGATGCATAGAATGTGAGCAAACATCTCTTTGGAATGCCATATTCATCTACGAAAAATGAACTTTCATGCAAGAGAAGTAGCTCTCTCAAAGTTTAAGAGTCGGGAAATGATTCCAGGTTTCATAAGAGCAGGCGCAGAGTCTAAATCTCTCAGAGGGTATCACAGTGCCTGACACAGAGTGGATGGATGAGATGTTCTACAGATATTTCAGGTGAGTTGATGAGTGAAGGAATGGACGACCAGTAGACTCTGCTACCAGAAGTAATAGTTTGTGAACCAACATTTGTGTACATTAAAAGGATGACTTGCTTTGTTACCACTGTTCCTCAAAAACATTCCTGCTTGAGCCATTTTGATTAAATAAAAAATGTCAAGTGCCAGGAGAAGCTGATATACAATGGGGCATGTTAAAAGTAACATGTCACTGATCAATGATACTGCTTCTTAGTGGAGTTATTTTGAGATGTTTTGCCCATGCCACCTTGGGGCATTCAAGTTTTTGAACTTCCCAGGACACAGAGCCACTCACATCCACATTGCAGCTTCTGTAGTGACAATGAGCAGACACTTATGTCTACCCCGTCTCAGCTATTTGCACACTCAGTAGCAAGTACTAGACCAGTACTAGGGCTCATTCTAAAGGCAGTGCTCAGAAAGACAGAGGAACAGGAAAGGAAGAAAAGCAAAAGGACTATGAGCTTTTAACGGCTTGATAAATGAAGGGACATTGTTAAGCTGGTCATAACTGGAAAAGTAAAACTGAAATTTGAGTAAATATACCAATAATTGGACACTACTGTTTCAAGTACAAAGCAAAGAGAGGAAGTGAACCGTAGGTGCTGGTGTGTAAACAAATCAAATTTAGGTGAAAGAAGAGCAGATACCTCTGCATATAAATTCTTGAAAGCCATTCCCTGCAGATTTAAGTAGATAACTGAAAGGAACTTTTAAAATGGCAGGAAAGAGTCTGGGTAATAGCTTCAGGGTTCCACATAGTCATAGTCAAGTGCAAGAGCGGTCTTTGTAAACAGAGTTCATAGCAATGCTCTGTGATGCGAGTGGGTCACTAAGACTGCTTAGGGACCCAGGTAAATTTCCAGCCACCCTCTTCATCTCTGCGCACAAAAGCTTGTCCCTGCTGAAAAGAATGAGTCTTCACATTACAGTGCGGACTCAGGGACGTGGAGAAGGCCATCTCTGTCTTGTTGGGAGACACATCCACATCCTGATAAGGAAGCATTCGGACCCTCACTGGGGGATTTGAAAGTTGAGGAAAGTAGTGAAGCTCTTCTCCGTGGCTGGCAGTACTGTGTAGCAGGGCTGTTCTTTCACCTTCACGGTGACTGGGCAGATCTTCTCTGGGGACATCTTCATAATCAACCGCTTCCCCTAGAAAGTGGGAAAATGTACTGCTGACTCCTCGGGGATGAGCGGAGAGGGCACTGTAGTTAGCTGATCTGGCGTCATCAATGGTGTCAAAGTCTTTCAACCCAAGCGTCTGGAGGACCCAGGGATCCACAGGGGGTCCAGGTTGTTCTACAGAGTTAGCAAACTCACTGGAGAGGTTCCTCTTGGCATTTTTGGGGTGGGGCGTCTCAGCAGGAGAGTACCTTTGCTCTTTAGGTTTCCTCTTCCCCTTTCGGAATTTCCCACATACTTTGGAGAACTCATCTGATGAAAGCAATTTCTAGAAGATTGGAATTTGAAAATTACACATCTTTCAAGTATTTACTGGCTACCATAATGCTGTAGACAAATTAAAATTTTATTTTTTCATACATTAGCAAACCTAGTCGGATTAGTGTCAGTGAATTAAAATCCATGCAAGGTGATAATTTATTTCCTAGAAACTTTAATTCATAATAATTATTTCCTAGAAATTTTAATTTTTTGCTCTACTTTGAAAGGTAAAATCGATAGATGCTGTGTTTAGCATTTCAGCTCGGGGCAGAAAAGACAGTTATGCTGATGGTGATGGCAATTATCATTTATGGAAGTATCATTCATAAGTAAATAAGCTATTATTTATTATGATTTTTAAAGGACTGGTTGAATGCATTATCTCATTGCATATAGAAGCTACTAATCTCCATTAATGAGAAAACCAGGGCACTTACAGATTGCTAAGGATAGCTCAGCTCAGATTTAATCCATACCCTTCTGAATCTAGGCAGAACCTCTGATTTAAGCACTATACAACATTGCCTCTTTATTTAACTAACTTTCAAAGCATTCTCATGAGATATATTATTGTATTATTCTAAATTTTACAAAACCGAGATCAAGAGAGATACAACCACCCAATTAATATCACTTAATAATGTTTCATTCATGGAATAGTGGGTGGAATTAAGAGCCCAGACTGAGAACTGTAAGATATGTTCCCTTTTTATCAAAAATATTGATTGTAAAAGAATCAAATCTAAGATCTCTGAACTGTTAAGTTTAATTAGTGTATCAACTTAGACTCAAAATATCAAATAATGTAGTTTGAGTGGAAGTAAGATAAAAATTGATAAGTAACCCAATAATAATAGCATAATGGGAAATATATAATAAAAAGTTTGCAGAACATCTGGGTAATATTTTTTGCATCTGTAATCTCAAAACTCTGGAAGGCTGAGGCAGAAGGACTGCAAGTTTTATCCCAGATTGGGCAATTTATTGATTTTATGGGACTCCATCTCAAAATAAATCAAAATGTGCTCAGTGCAAAAGCCTGACCCCAGTAACACACACAGACACACACACACAGACACACACACACATACACAGGAGAAAACTTGCAAAACCAAAGAAAATAAAGAGAACAAAAAGCCAAAAGAGAACAAAGAAAATGATAGAACAAATAGCTGAGCTATTCATCCTTAAGTTGGGAATAACTCATTTAAAAGTGTAGGAAAATCGTGAATGAAAGGTAATGGAATTCCACACAGCTAATTGCCAGTGAAGGTAGTCAGTGTATCTGAGCTCTAGTCAGATTCATAGCCTTTTAGACCAAGAGAGATTTTGAACACATCTTTTGCTTCATCCATTTACACATGAAGTTAATGGAGGCCCTAAGAGAGAATGATTTAGCTGAAGTCAGATAGCTAAAATACCTGACTTTTTTCATATCTATTTCTACTCCAGAATTTCATGTGTCTAACTCTCCTTTTGAATAACCTCTGCAGTCTGCATACGTCCCCGGATTAGCTTTTGTTTCTTCAAGAGTTCCTTTTGCAGTGCCTCACTGAATGTTGCAACCTAGATATTTCTGATAAATAACATACGCAATCTCCTGTGAATGTCATGTATTTCCTTAATAAAAAATTGATGCATTTATTAATGTATATCAAGACACTCTGCTTAGTAAATTTCTTGCATTGAATCAAGGAGCTTTTTTTGTTTTATTTTGTTTTTTTGTAAATAGTCTCCTTTCTCAATTCTCTGCCCTGACCTTATGAAAGAGATTGTTAACACACCTTGGCCTTTTCTTCAAGACATTTAACCAGCGTAGAATTCAGATATTGTTTCAGGTGATTATTCTCCTCGTGTAGCCTAGCAAGTTCTTCTTCCTTCTGTATCAGGGTATCTTGAAGCTGGAAAAAGCAGACAATGGTGAAGGCCACTCCACTATGTTGACTTAGTAAACTTATAGTCATGCTACTGCCCCTCGACCTTCTTAAACTTGATTATTCTATTTGTTTTCTGAGCAGAATTTCAGGGAGTCCTCTTTCACAGAGACCTAATTTAAATCTACACCCCTCTACCACATGACTGTTCAGTTTTGTGCTTGGAATTTTTCATTTATTACAAAGTGTTTGAAGAGATTAAATGACTTTCAAAGTTGAAACCACAAGGGAATCAGGTAGGTATGAAGGGAAATGAGCCGAATGCAACTGTTTAAATATAGAAAAAGCGTATTCAGAAAGGTTTGGTTCGACTCCTTCCATGCACACTTAAAAGGAAGAAGGAGGATGTGGATGCCTACATGTCCACTGTATTAAATTACTCTTCAGGAGCCACAGTAAATAAAACACAAAAAATGAAGTAATCTCCAGAAACACTTTTATAAGTATCATCCCTTCTTGCAGTGATTACTTAGGTTCATCATTTAAAACTATTATGCCACTCAGTATACCATTTGGTCTTTCCACCAACCTTTGCGATATCCCTCATAAATATTTCAGTTTCATCGATGAGGACAAGGGGTATTCCTGGGATCATATAGCTAAACTGTGAGAAATCAGTTTGACTATAGGTTTTTGTCTTCAGAGTGTTACTGCTTGTCTTAGTTCTTTTTTTTACCTAACTTTATCTTTCCCTAGATAGGGGTTTACCTTGATTCTAACCTACATTAGCATGAAATTTAAAAGAGGAGAAGAGGCAACTTGGAGTACGAGGAAGACACAGCGGAGAACAGCCCGCGTGTTCTGTCTAACACGGACCTGCTTGTTTCGGTAGAGCTGTGAGGAGAGCTGAGATTCTTCCCATGAACAGGAGTCCAGAACAGGGAAATTCAAGTCACAGGACGATGCTGTGTGGAAACACAAAATGAACAGCAGAGAAAGCACACTGGCCATCTGTGTGCGACAAATTCTTGAGACAATTTCCAAAGTCCGAAAGGTTTGATTATCCTTCTTGAAATAGCTATTTCTTCCACACAGGAAAACAAAATATTCAAAGCTTTCAGAATAGGGAAGCAAGTAAGGGGTGACAGAAATATATGTATGCACTATATGTCAATGTGGCTAAAGAGGTGAATATATTAGGGGGTGATTGGTCACATTCTTTCCTGACATTATAGTCCTGATGACTGAATTATAAAACAGTTGCATCTGCAGCATTTATTCATCGAAATATTTATTGTCTCTACCATTCTATGAAGAAAAACATTGTGATTCCAATATATTTTTCTAATTTGTATTCTATTTTCTAAAGATTTAAAGCTTCATAATATAGGGTTTGGTTTCGTAATTAATCCATCTTGGGATGCTCCCTTTTTTTCTGTCTGCCAGTCTGTTAAATTGGGTGAACATTATTTATTCGGATTTCTATTTGGTAACACCTTCTACTTTAAAATACTGTGCACTTTGTTTCTCCAAAGACCTTGATGAAAATTTCAAGACTATACCTACACCTTTATGTTTCAACTGTTTTTGTTTGTATAGTTTTATGACTTTTTAGAGTTTTTCCCCATATTCGACAGCAAGCTGTATTTATTCATCAAAATTGCATGGGCATGCTAAATTGGTTGACTTTTACTTTTGTTTTTCACTCTTTTACTATCATGCTGACTCTTGCCCTGATGTACTAAAATTGCTGTCACTGAAGTATTTTTTCTTAAGAGAAATGATGAGTGAGGAGACAGGAATAAAATTGTGTGATGAGTTGGCTTCAAATCTCTTATCCTCCTGTTTTTACTGTGGCTTATAATGTAGCCTTAAAACTCTACAACTTCCTGACATATAACATTACTTCAAACTTTTTTAAGTTTTTGTCTCTTTCTTAATCCCTTTCCCCAAATCATGTAGGATATTGGATAATAGTGCAGATATTTAATTCTGCACTGTCTGTGAGGGTTTTTTCCATAAAATTGAGTGTCATACAGCAATTCTCTTAATATTTATAAGGATTGTGCACTAAGCTCCAGGTTCATAATTAACGTTGTACATAATTTTCCTTATAGGATCAGTGATATAGTTCAGCGGCATAGCACCTGCCTGACAAACACAAGGTCCTGAGCTCAGTTCCAGGCACAAAAAATAATAATAGTGATAATAATTTTCCTTATATTCCCTTCAAAGTTAAAGTCAAGCTGGCATTTTGACTTCAAATGCATCTTAGTAGAATGCTCTTCATAAAACTTTCAGCCAGACCAAACTCTGTCAATAAATTGGGAATCTTTAAAAACTGTAAGTTATAAGGAGGAAAAATCTCATTTTCACTATTTGGCAAATAAAAAGTACCAAGTGTCATAGCTGACACTGAAAGAATGTGGGGGAATAAATCTTCTCTCACATCCCTTTTCTGTAGAGTCCTGGCCCATGATGCTTTGCAGCTATGGTTCTAGAAAAGGGCTCTAGGTCTATCAGGAAAGCAGAAAGGCAGAACTTACCCTGTGTCTGCGGTGCTTGTTGGGGCTCACTGTTGTCCAGGAGACCAGCAGCCCAGAAAGAGACCCAAGTCTCCGTGGAAACGTCAACACTAGATTCTGATGTTGCAGTGGAATACGGACAGTTATAGTTCTGGCCTCCTGAAAAATACTGGTCTTGACAAGGCAGAATGGTGTTCTGTGGAATTCAGTATAAGGAGTGGGGGGGAGGGGTCCAGGAGATGGAGGGACGGGGTGATTTGATGGGGAAAAGGGTGGGAAAAAACATACAACAATTACATGAAGTGAACCAAAAAGTGGTGAAGGTGTGAGGTATAGATCTAGATTAAACTTAAATTGTTTAATTGTACTGACTGAAAAGGACCGGGCTCCCTGACTTATCCAGTAATTTCCTTGGGCCTTTTGAGCAAAAAGCAGACAAGTATTGGATAGATCTAATGTCTGGCCATCAGGTGTTTCCTGTTGCAACCTCCAGCTTATCTAATAAGCTACTCAGCAAGGAAGCAGAAGAAATTCTAAATAATGCTTCAAAGATGTAAGAATTATTTGGTTTTCTCTAGCGAATATCTTAAGCATTCAGATTTGAAGGATAAAGTGGACACAACATCTTATAGAATACCTTCTTAGCTTCGCTGCTGAATCATATCATTGCCTTATTCCTTTCCACCCCTTCCCTTCAGTCTAACTTTCTGTTGCTAGTTTTATGGTGATAGGAATGCAGATATATCTGGATATAGATATAGACATAAATAAATATAGATTTTATTATAGATTACAGTACAGATTCTAAGACATATATAGATCTTAATATATATATGAATATGTGTATATATGCATATAACTGTCCCACAGATATTAAGTAAGTTTTCCTTCCATTCTAAGCATGGGAGCACAGTGTCACTTCAAGTAAACATCTAATCAAAGTGTAAAGAAGTTAAACACCAGAGATAATAAACTCTGGCTCCCTCCATCGCCTAGGCTCAATGCCATTACACAGCTACCCCATCTCCACTAAATGCCTGGCAGATTTTTTCCCCTGAGTTTGGATCTGGTGAGTGCTCTCTTGCCCTCTTCTCCTCCTACCCCAAACAATCTTTCCAATTTTCTAAACAGGGGCAGGAATGCAGCCTTCCTGGGTTAATTTGTACAACATCCCTTTCCTAATTTTTTTGGTCAATGTTTAACCAGGTAAAAGCCATTTCATTCAGGATTGGACAAACGCTTTTTGATCACTTGAGTCTTTTGCTGACTTGAGAACTTTCTTGAGCATACCATACACAGAGAGAAAACAAATAATAATAAGAAGAAAAATTGAGAAGTCACATTTTGTTAATGTTCTTAAAGTTTAGGGGGAAAAATCAGCTCTGAAGCAAGCGAAGCTGGGGCAGTGCAGACTGAAGAAATCCAGCCAAACGTTTATCAGTGCTATTTTCCTTTTACTCTAAAAGCCTGTTTACAGACTCTCCCCTGAGGTTATTATTGGAATCAGCTCTAAGCTATTATGCAATTGACACCTGAGAGGAAAACAAACCCCCAAAGGCGCTGAAAGCAGTTCAAGTCCAAGTGTTTGTGAATATGTGAATAATCTAGAGAAGAGGTGGAATGAAAAGTGGGTGCAGGTGTAGAGGGAAGTTAGGGAGAAAATAGAGAACAGAAGTAATAGAGCAGTAACAGCGGGGAGGAGAAAGAGGAGAGAGGGGTGGAGGGGAGCGGAGAGGAAGGGAGAGAGTCCCGCAGAACAGACCCGTTTTCCTTGGCAGGCAGCAAAACAGTCTTGCTCCTAACGTGCCATAAAGCCCAGATGCAAAGGACTCAGAGCTCCCGAGTTTTGCCAGCGGACTTGCTGACGCCAAGTCCTCACTTACCATCTTGCAGTGGGAGACAGCAATGCAGAAACAGAACCCAGAGTTAACTTTTTCCTATAGTCAGTGAGAGATTTCAATGGAACGGAGGGGAGGAGCCAGGAGAGGCGAGTTCTAATCTGCGGGAGCTCCCGGTGACGCGCGGGGCTCCTGGCAAGCGCTGCCTTCTGATTTGGTGCGAGGCTGTCAGACAGGTGACGTGGGCCGGGGACACCCAGCCAAACCAAAGTGACTCGCACTCTGGGCGACCACTGCATCGGACTGGGGCTGCGAGTCGGGCAGACCCGGGCGGTGGCGCGGAAACGGGACCTCGGTACCTGGCCCGACCCAGTAGGCGGTGGTCCCTCCTCCTCCGTGGCCGAAGCAATTCAGCCCGGACTGGCCGAGCGGGGGGCTCAGGATCAGGCCAAATCCAGCCGCATCTCAGGGCTGGGAAGGGCCCTTAAGGGTGCCAGTTTCACAGACCTCAGAGTCAGCATTGCTTCTAGGTACTTTTCAGGCCATCGGATAACTAATGTTAATTTGCTGTATGATGTAACTATTCTTTAACCCTTTGAAGTGTCTTATTTCACCCAGTTTCTGAAATATGGGATAAAGGTGTCCATTCTAGAATGTAAGCGTCCCAAGAATAGCGAGGTTTGCCCTCTACCCTCTCCAAGTGCTGGGGGCTGATTCCTGACATAGGATTAGGGGCTGTAGGGAGTGAATTAAGCCACACATTTAGGAATCTATGATGTTTTTCTCTGTGTTGGGTCTATCCACACAATTAATTATATAAAACACATTATCATAATTAAGAAAAATTAGTGTATTGTAATACTTCTCAAAATATTTTATTTCCTCCACCTTTTCTCTTACATTTTATTTTCACAATTCATCCAATGCTATAGAAGAAAGAAGAGTTAAACCATACTTAAAAAGATTCATCTACCGCTGATAGATCTCATTTCTACTTGCCAACAAAATGGATCTTCAAAACCACAGGAAGCAAGTATTCTTACTCTCCCTGTTTCACAGGATGGGGAATGAAACACTGTCATTGAGAAAAACAACCAGTGCAGTGACACCCCTTGGAAAACAGCAGACTTGGGATTGAACCTCTGCCTAAAGTATCTGAATTGTGCTCCCCTCAGATTCCTATGTGGAAACCCTAACCTAAGGGATATTGTATTGAGCAGGAACCCTAAAGAGCTCATTGAGGTTAAATAAGGTCATAAAGGTGGAGCCCTAGCACAATAAGAATGACGATCATATAACAAGACTGGGACTCCAAGGGGGCACACATAAAGGGAAGGCCATGCGAAGACACAGACAGACAGACAGACAGACACAGACAGTTGACCCAACTGTAAGTCAAGAAGAGAGGCCTCAGGAGAAACCATGCTGTTCTTCCAGCTGTTGGAAGTGTGAAAACATAAATTTCTATTGTTGAAGGTCACTTAGTGTGTGACATTTCTGTTCTGGTAGCCCTAGAAAATTTATATGTGCTCAAGGTAAGACCTGAGAACTGAAAGCTGCTTGTGGCTTGCATGGCACTAGTTTTCACCTTCATTGTTCTATTTCTCTATTTTTTTTTTTTTTATCTTTTAGAGACAGGGTCTTGGTATGTAGTTCAGGCTGTCCTTGAGCTCACTATGTAGCCCTAGCTGGCCTCGAACAATGATTCTCCTGCCTTAGCCTCCTGAGTGCTGGGATTACAAGCATGTGCCACCATGCCCACAAAAGTTCTACGTTCTCTACTTGTCACCCTTGGCACATACAAAGTGACTAGAACACATTTGTGTCATGAAAAAGTATTTCTTTCTCTGCCAACACCATAAAGGGACAAAGATGCTCTGGACATATGACCCTGAGATGATTGGGGGTGGCGATCAAGATCTATTTAGACTGTAAGGGTCTGTGACCTTTCTCAAGGCAAAGAACTGCTCGTTCTTTTGGTCCTGCGGACAGGCAATCTGTTTGGCAAAATCTGAATTAGTTTTGAGATGAGAAGGAATGATAGAAAAGGATTGAGTTGTTTGGATTTTGGAAGCTGTCAGAAGTAAGACACATGACAAAACTTCTCTTGGCACCAAAAATGATACAAATGGACAACTGACCAAACATTATATGAAAAAGTAGGACAATTGACTTTGCATCAAAGTATACCTAGATGCCAATTTGTGCCTCATTCAGAGGTTGAGTCACTTGGGATTATATAATTAAGGTCTCTAAATACTATTACTGCATGTTGCAAGTTAAGATAACAATACTGTCATGAGTGATCCATGGAAAACATGACAACTTTTATTAATGTGTAATAATGTCCTAATTCACTAAGTGATGCATAGGAACTATTTTTGCATTAGAGGTAGGGAGCCTGCCAACATATATGTTAGTATGGCTTCTGTATTAAAATAAACAAAAGTAAATGCTATGTTTATACACAGGGGGTTGAGTATTAGACATTATCTTAAAAGTCTTGGATAAATTTTAAGCACACAAGTGTTTGGCAAATCATTAACTACTTTAGCAATGGTTATAGGCATAATATGGTGCCTATAGACCCTAGACAGTAAAGAGACACTGACATTTCTAAAGCATAATACTTTCTTGAAATTAATAAAAATGTGGTGGAAAGATTTGGTGTTTGATTTCATTTAAGATCAGCTGCTTAAATATAAGTTAAGTCATTATCATTCCATTGTCCTTTGTTTGAAAACTGCATCAGGTAAGTAATCACATGAAAATCTCTTGGAAGTTTTGTATTCACACATGAAAAGACAAGGTGGTCCCTTGGTGATGTAGATCCAACCCAGGTAGATGTTTTGTCCTCTGCGAATAAGATCAGTAAAAATTGCCTTTGTGTTGTGTCTGAAGGGATGGTGTCAAAGGGGAGGTGGATAATGACAGTCCAATTGTTGAATCAGAGGACTACCTCCTGCCAGGGCAAAGATATAATAAAATAGGAGGTAATTTGACCTGGGCAAAGGAACAAATCTGTAGACAGAGAAGGGTAGAGTGTGATCAGAGGTGGACTGGCAAGATAAACACATTGGCATATGGAATGTTCTTTCATTTCACCCCTGGAGGACATTTTAATCGATTATCTCATTAGTGAATTCAGTGGCATATACAACAAAGAAAAATTTCTAAGTTTTCTTTATGAACATAGCTTTTATCCTAGCAGCAACAGCTGAATCTCCAGGCAACACAAGAGATAGTATTTCTGCTTTCACACATAGATAAAGTGTTACCTTGAAGAAAATTTAGTATAGTAGATGCTTTTCACAATGGAAGATTTAATACTTAAAAATTTTTAGCATATCTGGGAACTATGACAGATTTGTGTTTTTGAGATATAGTTTTGAATTTAACCCCTACAGAAATACATGCAGAAATAAATATTTTTAATAAGGACAGAGACTCGCTAATTAATACCTCCTTATCAACTGGGTTTTCTAGTATCTGTCTTATATGAATTTATGTAGTAGTAGAACTTTTATACATGAGCAAAGGCTGTGAAAAAGAAAGCAGACTGTTAATGCTGGGAGCGGAAAAGAAAATAAATAAGAGATAAAAACTAAAAATTTGAGAAAATTTTAACCAGAAGAAAGGAAAATACTTGAATAAATTCAAGAGTGCAATGTCCCATTTGATACTGACATTGTTTCTTTATGAAAGTGTGTGTGTGTGTTTGTGTGTGTGTTTGTGTGTGTATGTGTGTGTGTGTGTGTGTGTGTGGGTGGGTGGGTGTATGACAGAGAGACAGAGGGAAAGAGAAATATTTATTTTACTATTTTACTGGATTTTCAGATAGAATTCATTTTAATAGCTTTGTAAATATCTTTAGTCCTTTACTTACTCAATAAGCACTTAATATTTCATTTATACTCAGTTGTATCTTATTAAGGTAAATCACATAATACACTGATATTCATAAATTTGAAGAGTAAAAATTTTCAAAAGTCTTCAAAATGTCAACTGTCAAAAGGCAATAAGTGGGTTGAAGTAATTTCTAGCTTTAGTTTTTTGACAAATCTCCACACTGATTTCCATAGTGGTTATCCTTGTTTACATTCCCACCCCCAAAGGGGAAGGGTTCCTTTTTCCCTCAGCCTCACCAGCACTTGTTATTATTTGATTTCTTAAATATAGTCATTCTTTTTAGAGTAAGATGGCATTTCAGTATTGTTTTAATTTGCATATTGTTAGTGGCCTGCAATGTTGAGTAATTTTTCATGTATTTATTAGCCATACGTACTTCCCTGATGTGCTTATTTTACCCATGTTTCAAGTAGCATAATTTATAGTATCTAGATGTTGGAAGTTACCTATATTCCCATCAACAGATAAATGGAGCTAGCAAAGGTGATATTTGTGTATGACAGAGTACTATTCTGCTGTAAAGAAGAATGAACTTGAAGCATTCATAAGTAAACAGATGCACCTTGACCCATAATGCTAGGTGAAATAAATCAGACACACAACTTTGAGTATTTTGTGGATTTTCTTAGATGAGAAAGCCAACATGTAAATAAAGAGAAAAATAAATGACAGATAATAGGAAGTAGGAAGATCTACCTTAAAAGGGAAGAGGAACAAGAGATGGTCAGAGGGGGAGCCAGAGAAAGGAAGGGGGAGGGGAAAAGAATTGAAATTTAAAAAAATGGATGTAGAACTTTGTAAAGGGAAAGACGGACCAAGAGCTGTAGGAAGCAGGGAGAGATAAGAAGGGGAAGGAACAAAAGAACAAAAAAAGAAAGAAAAATCAGAACTGAGAGGTGTTAGGTGCACGTACTAACTTCCCCATGACATGTAATTTTATGCACCGCAAACATGGACTAAAAAAAAAAAGAAAACAAAAATGTAAAATAAAAGTGGAGTTCTACAATGTCAACTCTACTCTTCCTATTTGTGAGATAGCTAGCAAATGGATACACATTCACATTCTTTGGCAAAGCGCGGTAAGTCTTTTCTGTGCTTGGCTGCGTCACCTTTTAGCTTTTCTAAGAATATAAAACAGTATTTGAGCTAAGCTAGAACCGAGGCTTTCCTGGCTGTCAGCGGGCAAAAGAGTTCCCCTTTTCCTAGGTCCCACTGGGCCACGTTGAGAACTGAGAGAAGCAGCTCCCGCGGGCCTGCGCGCTACCTTGCACAGGCGCACAGGCACGGAAGGTCTGCTGCAGGGTAGCCCACCTGGCCAAAGTGAAATCAAGGCTTACCTTGTTCTCCAAATTGCTTCCAATTTTTAAATCTCTTGCATTGCCACAGAAGGTAGAGGTGTGGAACCTCAAACTAAACCAATACAGTTTTTCTCCATCCACTCGACAGAACTGCATTACAAAATGATTAAATAAGGTACAGTAGAGGCTTAGATTTTAAACTGAATTTCCACTTCATAAGCTCCAGCATTTTCATAAAAGGGAAATGCTAGGCTCCAGTGCCTTCTTTGCTCAAGGAAGTCATCTCAGGGGTTTGATAGAGAGGCTGGTGGTTAGTTGCTGATGAG